CTAAAAGAGAACATGACTGCGGTGAAATGGCCGGTGAACACGGCAGGGAGTGGTACAGCGTGTTTCCAGCATGGACATGGCGGGGGGACATTTACGGGGAAACGACCCAGACGTGCCCTCAGAACTGAAACCTGTTTACTAGCTTCTCAGAGGCGATAAATGGGACACGCTAAGTGGGGGGGGGGGGCATAGAGGCAGCTGTCACATGGTTCCCCCCCCCACCAGTCGAGTCTGAGCTAGCAGTTTGAATCACATTTTCTCAAAAAGCATTTTCCCCAAACGTCCGTCCAGAAAAGGACAGCAGGGGCAAGTATGCCGTGGTGGTTTGGGGGGGGGCGCTTTGCCTATCAAGAGTGGGGTGAGATGGGGGTGGGAGGTTTCGCACAGATGAGGAATGAAAGTGCCAGTCAGGAGAGGTGTGATCCCGGACGGGCGACACATTTCTAAGGGTGTGGAGGACAGACAAGGCGGGACGGGGGAATGGGCCGGCATGAGGGGGGGGCTGTCAGCAGCCTGTTCTTTCAGGGCGTCTGATTTCAGCACTGAGGCATCGTCTGCGGGGGGGGGACAGACACACAGCCAGTCGCCCCCTGAGGCCCCCTGGCGCAGATTCTGGGCCCTGAGTGAGCCCCTCTAAAAGCCTGGACGGGTCAGGCGGGCATCAGCCACAAGGAGATATGTGACCTTCCTCCCTCCCCCCCAGCTCCCCCCCCTGCTGCTCCGGGGGTCCCCTCCCTCCCGTCTCTGCTCCGTTTCCCGTTGACTCCGCCCAGAACCGGCATTGCATCCATCTGAGACTCTGGGGCCAGCAGTCTATCCGTCTGAGGGTGGCGGCCCAGTTCAGCGGCCTCCTGCAGGCAGACTCAAGGAAGCGGAGAACTGGGCTTGTGGGGGGGGTGGTACCCTAATGTCACCCTTAATCTGAAGAGCGCTTATTTATTTACGTTTGATGAGGCGGTCACGGCGGGGAGTCCGCCTCCCCACGCCCCCGCCTGCAGCCCGCGAGGTCACAGCATTCGGGTCACGCGTTTCCACAGCAACGTCGGCAACCAGTGACCTCCGGTGGTAAATGTATTTTTTAGCACGCTGTTTTTCTGTGTTTTTTTAATGGTTTTTTTTTTTTTATGCCGGCGGAAGCATCACTGTATGTGAACCTCATGGAGCGTGACAGGCAGCTGGGGGGCTGGGGGTCTGCTGGCAGGGTCTCAGTTCCATTGATCAATCGCAGAAGGTCCGACGGGCCGTGTTGGGTCGCCCTCCACCTTAAGGAGATCTGAAGTCTGTTCAGGCTCCTTTTCGAACACGAACGCCCCAGACACCGAGAGACGGCCGCTCTGCGGTGCCGCTAACCCCCCCCGGCATGTTCGCTCCGACTTTATCTGTCTCTTTGTTTGTCTGCCTGTTTATTTACCAGATGCAGAGATTTGAGCAGCTTAGATATTCATGCCCATTCATACCGACGACTATTTAATGGGGCGATGAGACAGCGCACCCGCCCCTGGAAAAAAAAAAAAATGCAGATAGTCCATCACACGGAACCCGACTATTGCCATCTCTCGCTGGGCTCCATGCTGATACGGAACATTCTGAGAACATGCACAGACTCCTTGTCCCTCCGAACCCAGCACCCCCCTCCCACCTGCTCCCGGCTTCACATGCCTCGAATCGCCTCAGCCCCCGATAATTCACTCGGGAAGACCTGCATGCGCCGCACCCACCCCCGGGGAAGTCTCGACATGCAGGGAGGTGGGAAACAAGGGAAGCGGTAAATTACTATGAAGGACCAGCCGGTGACACCGCAGCGGGACCCCTCCATTCACAGGCCGCTCTCTCTCCGGATCAAGGGGCTGCCCAAAGATCCCCCCCCATTACTGGCCAAGAAGTAGGGTGGGGGGCATGATTGAAAGGATGACCCCCTCCCCCAGTCCAAGCGGTCCTCTGGAGGGGCAGCGCGGCAGCATCAGTCACATGACAGCTTATTAAGGCTATCAGTAAACAGAGCACACACCCCCACCCTGTCAGTAACACCCGGTTTGTAACCCCGTTACAGAACATCTCTTTTAATATTTATACTTCTTCTATATTATTTTTCTCGCCAGAAGCAATGCCTTTCTGCTTTGAGTGAAAACCTGAGCGAACTATATCAGGACCCCCTGCTTCTTCACAACAGCAAAGCATTGTGGGAGCGTGACATTCCCACCGCGAGCGTGTGTGTGGAACAGCCTGCCAACCAAAGAAACCCCCCTCAATAAGCTACAGTCCACAAGCTTCTGCCTGCCTGTTCATCCCAGCAGCTTCAGACGGGTGGGAGGGTTACCAAGAGCATGCCGTCCTCGGCCTTGATCGACCCGGGCTCGGCGATTCGCAAGCTATCTATGCGTTTACAATAGGCGAGTGACGAGGAACACAGTACACACAGGGGGGCGTCCTGAGTCACATGGAAACGCCCGCGAATTAGCATGCGGGATAATGGATGGTGGATTTCGCTTTGTTTCCTTAAAGGAAGCGGGTATTGAATGAGCTCAGCAGATGTTCTCAGATGTTCTACATGCTTGGCTGGACACATATGGGGAGACAGAGACAGAGAGATGGAGAGAAAATAGGAGCATTCAAATAACACATCAAATAAGATCATTTATTTTATTCGGTCCATGGTGTTTCGCCCCCTGCAGGCCAGCACTTGAACAACCTGAAACGAACTCTGCATAAATAGCTCAACCGGTATCGAAAACAGAAGCATCAGTAAAGAGCTGGAACCCAGATCCTGACACTATGGGAGCTGCACACCCCAATGATGGCTAGATCTTTGTAGGGGGAGGTCCGTCACACTCTCTCAGGTAAAGCTGAGCATTTCGGAGGAACCGAAGCCTCTATTCCTTACCCACAATCCCCGGCCGGCGATCAGCAGGCACCCAGAACTCCTCTCTCACCTTCCCATCTCGCCCCTCCCTTTGCCCTACGGGTCCAAGCTGGAGTCGGCTCTCGAATCCGCCCCTGACATCACCGACAGCACAGAGATCCCTCAGAAAAAGTGCGAATGTACTGAGAGGAGGTGGAGAACCGAGATACACGGCACAGAGGGGCACAGGACCCGGCTGTGTTTGGGGGGCTGTGTGTGTGTGTGTTTGTGTGTGTGTGTGTTTGT